AAACGGGTTACTTGGAAACTCGAGTACCATTTTTGACTAATGCCATTCGATAGGATATTTTATAAGCTTAATTTTGGTGTATAATTATTGCCTGGACTCGTCTCGGAACTTTGTCAAGAGTACAAAAAACCGGTCGCACGTCGGAGAATATGTAGTGTTTTATGACCGCAGATATTGCCCAGCTATTTCTCTTTTACGGGTTACTTGGAAACTCGAGTACCATTTTTGACTGATACCATATAAAAATTACTATAAATTTTATAAGTTTTTTTTTTGAATATAATTTTTAAAAGAATACCCTTCGGAATTTTTTCTAAACTACTTTATAATAAAACATATATTTTAAATAAGTGGCGCCCTCTAACGGTGTATTTGAGTTTTATATCTGATAAGGTATTGCTATATAGGAATTGCTAACTTCACAGACATTTTCTTCTGTCAGTTACTACCTGCCCAGCTTTAGAAAACAGCCTTTCACATGGTACTGATGTTGCTACTATGCAGAGTCTCCTTTTTACAATTTCGTACAATCGTGGGTATATTTTTTTCAGACCACCATAATAATGGATTCTCATGACGGTTTATTAATGGTTCATTTAAATATTTATCCATCTCTATTATTGACGCTGCTGTTGAATTATTACTACCAGTTATATGATTAACAGTTTTATCAAAATCTCCCCAAACTGCAGAAGATGTAGAANTCTCCCCAAACTGCAGATGATGTAGAAGAAATTGGTTCGGCTGATATTAATTCGTAAGAATTGGGTAATTCATTTTCAGTTGTAATGGTTGATATTTTGTTTTTCAATTGTCTAATAATTTCTTTACATTTAATAGTATTAGAAAATGCATGGCTCTTAAACCTGGGATCAAGAAGAGTAGCTTGACTAATTAAAAGATTATCTTCAATGGATCCAAATCGAATTAATAGTTTTTTTTTTTAAATTTCAGCCATATCATGTACCTCTTTTGGCAAACTTATTTCATCCACAAAGTTAGCAGTATACTTCAATAGTGCATTAACAAAAATTATTTCTTTTGAAATTGTTACATATTTTTCTGCACTTATTTCAACAGTAATATCATAAAAATTTTTTAATAGATCCTTTGATTTTTTAATAACTTCCCAATCATAAGAATTTAGGGAATTCAAGTGATTACTATTTAAAATAGCTAAAGTTGCAGTTATTGGCTCTCTAAGCTTTAATACTCTTTCTAGCATATCATAACAAGAATTCCAACGTGTTGGACAATCTTGTTTTAACTTTAAAATAGGACTTCCTGTTTGTTTTTGGTACTCTTCCAACTTTGCTAAAGCGTGAGAACTCCTCTTAAAATATGAAACAATATTTTTAATTTTAGTTATTACTGGTTCAATGATCTCTAAACTATTTTGAACCACTAAATTCACTGAATGGGCAAAACAGGATATTCGTCTCCAGTCACATTTATCTATAGCTAATTTCATATTAGACGCATTATCTGTCACTACAGCTGTTACTCTATCATTTAATCCCCACTCAGATACTGTATTTTTTAAAAACAAGGCTAAATTGTCAGCTGTGTGACTTTCAGGAAAACTAGTACATCCCAATAAATAAGCGGACAGCTCTGAATCATTTTCAGGATTTAAAAAATGTGCTGTTACAGCAATAAAACTTTGGTTATTACGAGAAGTCCATCCATCAGTAGTTAAACATACAGCAGTAACATTTTTTAATTGCTCTTTAACTTTTTCTATAACCATCTTATACATCTGAGGCATTATACTATTAGAAATTGTTTTTCTTGAAGGAATTATATAGTTCGGAGATAATAAATTTATTAACTTTCAAAACTCTTTGTCCTCTACTACACTAAATGGGTGGTATTCTTTTACTATCATTCTTACGAGTTGTTGGTCGATAGATTTTGATTTACTAAAAGGCAGTGGTCGTTGAATAAAATTTGTAATAGCCAATTGGTTATGTATATTGATTGATGGTGAAGATGTAGTT